GTCTGGCTTTAAAGAGAGCATAGGTAAGTTTTACTTCCAGTTTCTGTCAGAAAGGGACGTCTCTTTGGGAAGTACTGAGCATACGACTTGATAAATGAGACTTGGATTATACTGCACAGGTTGTGTGAGGTGAGAGTTTCTTAACGGATGTTTCAAAGTAGTTTTGCTGTAGTTAAACATGGACCCCGATTATGTCAGTTCGCATTTTTCGATTCTCTCTTCACCGTGGAGGCATGCCAGAAAAACAAAGTTTATCTCATAAATTCAATGTAACACACAGTGAGTAACTGATACACAAATGATCATTTTGAGGGTGAAGTATTCCTTTAACACTCAAAAAACTCTTTCTGAGGTGTCATGCATCATTTCTTGCAACATTTGCATGCATTTTAATCGCACAGATAACCTCACAGGAGCAGGTCTTTAAGAAGCGTTGTCTGATATGATTTATCTGCTCATTCTTTCTTAAAAAATCAAATTAGACTCGATAGAATGCCACTCTCCATATGTTATTGTCACAAAGTATAGCACTTAATTCTTAAGCCATCTAACCAACAATATTCAGACAGCACTAGTCGACTGGCTCATGGTTCTGTCAGTGTCATTTCGAATAGTAATGAGGAGTTAAAGCAGTCAGGTCTTAAGCTTTCCCACCATGTTGTTTTGGATTTATACAAAGTGGTCTTAAAGGGTTTTATATATGCAAGGACAGTAGATTTGTCTTAATCTATGAGGTTATGGAAGTACAAGAAAATCACCAAAGTTGGAGTTAGAATATGAGGTTTTTATTACACGACTTCACTTTTATATTTACTCTACGTGCAGCACTTGTCTTGTCAGCTTGTGCATGCCTGTTTTTCTCCACATCTATGATTCTATCACCAGTTCCCCCCGAAATACATACACTTCAGGAGAAGTAGCATGCCTTATTCTCCAGGTTCTACTCTTTGCTGTTGTATGTTACTCAGCCCGTACACAGACTAACCACAGATGTATGCTGACAACATATGTATGCAATGCATGGAGATTCTAGTTAATGATCTGACCCCTCAGGTCTTTCATACTTTGTAGAATGTAAATCACACCATGTTTAGAAATAGGATGGATGCCCCTTTTGTCTTTTCTTTTTTACACTGGACTCAGGACTGTACAATATATACTGTAACCTGAATACAATACATAACTATTTCTGACTATTAAAAATACCAAATGCATCTGGGGTAGAGAGTCATCAGACTATGTCACAAAGAGGTTGTGTTCAGTGCTTACTTTTTCAGTCACAACGGAACAGTAGACCATTTGAGATCTGCATGTTATGAAGTTTGTAGGATTAAATGCACACCTTTGATGATTTTATTATGAGTATATTTAATATGATTTGTTAAAGTCTTACATAACCACTATTGATATAATTTCTAATAAAATCCAGTCACTGTCCCTCCGAACGAGTCTGCATGTGGAGAGTAAAGACGCAGAGGCCCAGTGGGATTTTACACACTCCCATAGATCTGTGAGTGTCTGTTAAGGGGCTGTTGTACAACATCAGACCCGGGGCCTGCTCTATAAAGTGAGTTGACCAAATAAACCAGGCTTATTTCAGATAATTGATTCAGTTTCATAAAGCAAATTTGACATAGTTAAAGCTCAGTTTCTGTGGCAAGTTATGCTGGGAAACTATGCTGGTCTGGGGCAGGAAAACTGTTGGGCTAAGCCTGAGTTAATGCTTAATCAGAGTTCCTGTAACACAAACCCGTAAGGAAAGCCAAGATTTTACCACTGACTTTATGCTGCCATAGTATTTTCATTTAAAACCACTATTAGTCAAAAATCAGCTTACATTAAAGCTGCAAGCAGTGATGAACCCTCGCCCCCCACGCATGTCGAGGGTATTGGCAGGACATTGGCTGATGACACACTTAATTTCTGTGAACCATTTTGTAGCCTACCATTTTCTGTGTCCACTATGTGGTGCTGCAGAACACATTTATTAAAAGTCCTGTAAATCATTTGTAGACCACACTACACATGAGGTAAATCAAAAGGTGAGTGTCTGAAAAGTCATGGTTCCTGTTGCCTGAAGGTGGTGCAATCACCATGACACCTAATGTGCATGTAGTTGGCTTCAGGCCTGGAGCCTTATAAAACGTGACGTTCAGGGGCCATCAGTGGCTTATTGGATAGAGCAGGCGGCAGGCACGCCATGCACAAAGGCCTCGTCCATGCTGCAGTGGCCAGGCTGGATCCCAGCCCATGGCCCCACGCGGCATGCCATTCCCCATGTCCACCAAAGGCAAAAATGCCCCCCAAAAAATTTTTTGAAAAAGTTTGAGGCAGATTGGACCATGTATGTTGGCGTTACAAAGCACTTCCTATTTGGTGGTGACACATAGAAATTTGATGCCTCGCCACGGTCACACGTTTCGATGAAAACTCAAGCTTCAAGCAGCTTTTGATGTGAAAGGTCTTTAGATGGTACAGACAAAATTTGAAGTCAGTCGGATCTAATCTGTAGGAGGAGTTTGTTAAAGTACGACCCCTGGAAATGGCAAACAGTGCAACTAAATTACACATTTAATTAAATGGCTGACTCTCTGTTGAGTTTAGGGTATGGCTCCAAGAGACTTTTTTGTACGTCCTGGGGTGTCACACGTGTCTACCAAGTTTCGTACATGTCAGTGACACCAGCTCCAGGGGCAACTTCGTAGAACTTTTGTAGGGGGCGCGACTGAGCCATTTTGTGACACTTGTTATCCAGACCCATATCAGATGTAAATTTTTCGCCAGTTCTGATGTGTGTGCAAAGTTTCATGAGTTTTCAAGCACCTTAAGCCCCTCAAAATGTGATTCTTACAGTTTCAATAGGGCCTTTGCGACTGCTTGCGGTCAGTGCTCAGCCCCTAATAAAAAGTAAATTGAATATCTTATACAACGATAAATGATAAGTTACAAATCTGCCTCAGAAACAACAGCTTAAATGAGTTTAATGTGTGTATACAATGATGACAAAGTGATACATTCATTCCACTGATGTTTTATCAGGACAGAGGAGAACTGAAGTGTTGCTGTGAGGTGTTAGAAAACAGCTCCATCTCCTGGCAGCAGGGCTTCATGTCTAAGTGATGCAACTGATTCACCTTATTACACTGAAAAATACTTCATCCTGCAGGATGTCCACTGTAGCCAGAACTGATTTCATGGATTTTGGATTTGATGGCGCAGCAGATGTTATTGGGTCAGAAACCATTCTGATTATATAGAGACAGCCCGTCCTTGTTGTGATGATGCCGGCCTTATTTACATGTATGTGCCCTCTCTTCTCTGGTGGACAGATGCCGCATTTACTCTCTTTTAACAGGAGTCATGGAGAGAGAAATTATATGCAGACACAGGTATATAGAGTTTCCTGGCATGGGTCCTTTTACCTTTTTTATGCATATACGTAATGTCTCTCTTGTTTAATGCACTCTACAACAAAGAGTTTTGGCAAAGAGACATTTATTGTACCATTTTGTTATGATAATGATATTATCATAATATGACTTTTATTATTAATATTACCAGAAATATGATGTTTTTGTTCTTTCTATTAATGGATTTGGAGCTTAGGCCAGCATGAATCAGATGCTCTGTTGTTTCCACATTTGTGTTGTTGTAGTAGCATAAGTGACTGTTCCCTACATCAACTTTAAATCTTACAATAATAATATGACAGCCCATTTCTGTCAGTGTGATGCTAAAAAAGATCCTGTAAGTCATAATGAGAAACTTTCTCAAAGTAGCGATTTCTTAAAAAAATAATGATCCGCTATCTCAAAAATAATGGGAAGCTTTCCCAAAATAATGACTGGGTATCTCAGAAAGTAATGAGAAACGTTTTCAATATCGTGACATATCTCAAAATAATGATATAGTATCTAAATAATGGGAAGCTTTATCAAAATAATTAATTCGTGCCTTAAAATAATGAGAACATTTCTTGAAATAATTACTTAGTATCTTTAAACATTTAGTAACTCAAAATGATGACAAACTTTCTCAAAATAATGACTTGGTATCCCAAAAAATACTGAGTCAGTAGCCCATTTCAAAATCCTGAGAAACTTTCTCAAAATAGTGACATAGTATCTCAAAAATAGTGGGAAGCTTTATCAAAATAATTAATTTGTGCCTCAAAATAATGAGAACATTTCCTGATATAATGATTTAGTATCTTTAAATAATTAGTGACTCAAAATGATGGCAAACTTTCTTAAAATAACGACTTAGTATCTCAAAATTAATGAGTTAGTCTATTTAAAAATTCTGAGAAACTTACTAAGAAATATTTTCATATCTTATAATAATGACATAATACCTCAATTAATTAATTATCAAAATAATTAAGTAGTGCCTCAAAATAATGAAAAACTTCTCTGAAATCATGACTTAGTATCTCAAAACAATTAGTAACTCTAAATGAATGAGTTAATTTCTCAAAATGATGAATTAGTAGCCTCATCTCAAAATACCGAAAAACTTTATTAACTTGGTGACAAATCTCAAAATAATGACAAAGTATCTCAAAATTAATGGGAAGCTTTATCAAAACAATGACTTAGTATTGTTTCTCATTATAATGAGATAGCCTACTAACTCTTTATTATTTAATATAATATATATAAGTTTCTTATCATGATGATTTACGTGATTTTTTTCATCACATTGGCGGCAATGGGCCTCCATATTGTGATGAAATATTTCAATGATGAATCTCGTTTCCAGTTGAGAGACAAAACAGGTGACCTTCTTTATCACGCCACAGGGGGCGCTGTAGGGTACGTTGGGGCCCCCACATACATAACCGATAACTAACTAAAATATAAAGAAATTATTATATTACATTAAACCTCGTATTCATAGAACCATGGTCGTATTTGAGATTATTCAAGACGCAGAAAATAATTTTGTTTGGTTTATTTCGCTTTTAAAGTATCACTTCCGGTGTAAAGGTCATAGTTACGATAGGTCAATGTGTCCTTCCACACGTGTTTTCGGTAATCCTTCAGAGGCAGCAGTCAACGTGGAGCAACTCGGCAGTCGTGTGCTGTCAGACTAATTTATTCTTTCTTCCAGCGCCTTAATTTTTACCTTCAGTCATGCTGAAGTCAGTTGTCCGCGCGGTGGGAGCCGCTGTTCGCATTTCCTCAGCCACCACGTCCACAGCCCGAGCTCTGCCACTGAGCTGCACGACACTGTGTGCCCCAAGTTCGGCCACAACTCGGCCCTTCACCCGGTCTCTGTGGATGCTGAATAACAACGGAGCCTCGTCGGGATACAGGCCGAAACTGTTCAGTTCAAAAGTGTTGGGTCCCTCGGTGTCGTGTGGATGTGGAGGACTGCATACAGAAGGTAACGTTTAATGTGAAAGTCCTTAGAGAAGCTAACGTTAGCTAACGTTAGCTTGTTTCTTATTTGGCAGTATTATAGTTTAACATGTCTGTGTATACAGAAGACCTCAGAACAAAATGTCGCTCAGTTAACTGTGGCGTTACTCATTTCTAAAGACACTTAACCCATTAAAAAACAGCACTTTAGCCTCTTAGAAATGAAGTTAGCATTCACTCACTAAATGCATCCTCTCACAGGTAACAGCTAACATTCACCTTGACAGATAGTTTCACCTGTCGTCCCAAATATATGTAACAAGATAACCGGCGAAATAAAATGAAACGTATGTATGTCTCCGTGAATCCGCACAGATACAGTTACAGGTTACATCCGTGCCTGTTCAGACTCACATGTCGCCATGACAGTAGACAATGCTTCAGGTATGGATGTTGCTGCAAAGAAGCTCCATATTCTAAAGCATGGATGCTTCACACATGTTCAACCCGACAGCACAGTCAGTCAGTACAGTCACCACAGTGTCATTATGAGTGTCACCAATCCAGCATTTAACCACGTTTCCCCATCTGTTCCTGAGTTATGACGTTAAATGATGGAAATAAAAAACATTTTGATGTCACATTGAAGCTGACCTTTGACCCTCTGGATATATAATGCGAGCACCTCATCATTGTATTCTGCTAGACATTTGTGTGAACTTTTGTCATAATCAGTGCATCAATTCTTGAGCTACTGCCAAAAACATGTTTTGTGAGGTCGCACTGACCTTTGATCTTTGACCACCAAGATCCAATAAATTCATTGTTGAGTTCAAGTGGACGTTTGTGCCAAATATGAAGAAAGTCCACCAAGGTCTTCTTTAAGATACTGCATTCACAACAGTGAGATGTATGAGGTTACAATGACCTTGACCTTTGACCTCCAAAATGTAATCAGTTCACCACAGTCGGGGCAGCTGTGGCTCAGAGGTAGAAAGGGTCGTCCACCAATCACCTGACGATCAGTGGTTCGATCCTCGGCTCCTCCAGTCTGCATGTTGAAGTATCCTTGAGCAAGATACTGAACCCCAAATTGCTCTCGATGGCTGTTCCATCAGTGTGTGAGTGTGTAAAAGAGAGAGTAACAGGTGGCACCTTGTATGGTAGCCTCAGCCACCAGTGTTTGAATGTGTGTGTGTGAATGGGTGATTATGACTCGTAGTGTAAAAAGCGCTCTGAGTGGTCGGATGACTAGAAAAGGGCTATACAAATGCAGGTCCACTTACCATAAAGTTCATGTTTCAAATTTAAGGAAGTTCTCTCATGGCGTTGTTGAAATATTGCGTTCACGAGAGTAGGATGTACGGACTATCTCCCACTCGGAGGCATAAAAAGAATAATTTCAACTATGGAAACCTTAATTTTGTGAGGTACGTGTTGATGTGAAATGCCATGATGAGTGTCAAGGTCAATCAGGTAATCAGAATAAGGTTTATTGGCTAGTAGGTTACACATGAATGAAATGTGGTGCATAATCAATAGATATCTTAAGTGAAAATAAAAACGGAGGATACTGCAAAAGTCACGAACATGAATATAGAATAGAAAAACTTGCATTGCTTTTGCTGCAGGATGATAAAGATTGAATTTTACCACTTACACACATTGTCATAATTGTGTAAACTGTTCTACCTTTTTTACAGGTGACAAAGCGTTTTGTGATTTCCTGTCTGATGAAATCAAAGAGGAGAGGAAGATCCAGAAAACTAAAGCCCTACCTAAGATGTCTGGAGGATGGGAGCTGGAGATGAACGGCACAGAGGCTAAACTTACGAGAAATGTTGGCGGAGAAAAGTAAGGCTGCCGCAGCTGGCGATTATTATCCAACCCTTGTTGACATGTGAGCACACTAATGAGCTCCTGATGTGTCTCCTTCTTTTCCAGAATCACTGTCACATTCAACGTCAATAACAGCATTCCTCCTAACTTTGACGAAGAGGCAGAACAGGGACAGCAGAAGCCAGCAGAAGAAGAGGTGGGTCACAACAAACCTGTCAGTCCCCCGATGGTTTAGGAGAAATGTGCATCACCTGGGCAAGGCAGGAACCAGCTAGTGGTGCTGCTCATTTGGCGATTATTGCTGTCCCACCACCGTAGATCAGGACCACGTTGCTACAGAAACATTGTGCCCACCCTCCAGTCTCACCCAGTTTGCCCTGATGAGTAAAGCAGAGCACTTACTCTATGTCGCAGTCTGTCATACTCTTTCCCAGAAATGTAACTCCACGTCACAGCGACGCAGACCTCACCTTTATTTTTGTAAACTGAAAGTGAAAATAAAGTTTTCTTTACTTTTATTTCACCAAAAACAAATAATAAGTTGTGTAGACAATACAGCCTCCACAAAAGAGCATTTTAAGTCTTGTGTGTGATTTATCCCGGCTTCATAAGAGTAGAGGGAAACGCTGCTAGCGACTGGGCTAATATATGCAATGTTAAATAATTTTAAAAATAATAGTATTAAAAATAATCTCAAAAAAAGAAAGTTGCAGTTTGTTGTAAAACTGTTAAAATATAAGACTGTGAAAATATGTAATTAGAACAACTTCACATGTCACACAAATGACATCATAGCTTCTCTCTCACTAAAGCTACGATGCCTGTGTTACATACCAGGATATACTCACATGAGTAACAGGTCTTGCTCGTTCTTTTGCTTCACAGCTGATATAAAGTCCAGGAATTGCTGAATAAAACACATCAAGTTGGATAACATTACATCTGTGGATGGAACACAGCTAAGTTAGCTCGCTTACTAGCTGGTGTTGGTGACATATCTCTTGCGAGACTAGTGATGTAGTTCACGGAACAGTTTCACACCAAACTAAAGAATAGTTATGCTAGTAATGTTAGTATGTTGTATATGTGGGGAAAATGTAGGAAAAATTTTAATGAATTTTCAACATATGTTTTAAATTGTTGTTATTGTGCCATGTTTTATGTGTGCATTTAATCAATCCACAGTTCCACACAGTGGCATGGAAAAACCACTGCCAACTAGCGTTTCCCAAGTGTAACCAGTCGGAAATGTTCTCTGGGGTTAACCAGTTAACAATTAATCATTGACATTCCTTGTCTGAAATTATTGTGTAAAACACAAACTGATTAAAGTGATTAATAATGAAATATGAACATTATAATGATTGTAGTTTCTTTACAGCCAGAAATTGTGTCAACACCCAACTTTGTTGTTGAAGTAACAAAACAGGCTGCAAAACATGCCCTGGTGTTTGACTGCCATTTCCCTGAAGATGAGGTGAGAACACACAACATTCATTTATACATGTATTAAACTGAAGGCAGCAACAGGTCTTTGGCTTTTTTGTCTGTCAGTTAAGTTTTTTTTTTAAAGTTAAACAGAAGAGGGGGATTTGCATTTTGCAGATGAGTCATGGTGAAGGAGAAGAGGAGAGCGACATCTTCGCCATCCGTGAGGTCAGTTTCCAGCCTGAGGGAGACTCTGAGTGGAAGGACACCAGCTATACACTCAACACAGACTCTCTGGACTGGGTAAGATTTGACAAGCATAAACAGCTTAGTACACATTAAGGTTTTAAAGGGTCTGTAAGTTCCTGGACATTTTCAGAGAGAAATTAAGCTCGAGAATTTGGGAAATTTTGTACAATTTCAGTATAAAAATTGAAAAGCATGTTGAAAATGATTCTGCAGGCTTCTTAGCAACTCCCCGAGCACCTCACATTAGGAGCCGTCTCCTCAGCACTCAAAAAACTGGACAGCCTAGTGTTAGTACAGCCGAAGCAAATGACCCATTATATTCCTGTTTTTTTTCTGTTAATTTCCATGGAAAATTTCCACTTTGAATATTCCCATAATTTTGCAACCCTACAGTTGAAGGCAGGAATTCTTGGTTACTGTTTGTAAACATGCCAGATAAAGTAAAAGTCAAAGCCCATGCTGTTGTTTTTCAGGCTCTGTATGACCACCTGATGGACTTCCTGGCTGACCGGGGGATTGACAACACTTTTGCAGATGAACTGGTGGAGCTGAGCACCGCCGCCGAGCATCAAGAGTACATTAAGTTCCTGGAAGAGCTCCAAGGCTTTGTCAAATGTAACTAATGTTAGATATAAAACTTAAATTTCACCCTTCTTCAGTACACATCCTGGCAGAGTTGGAGGTATGATGATCCAGTTCTAATGATGCAGCACTGATTTATCGATTGATACCATTGGCACTGTAAAGAGACTGATGATTACTTGCTTTAGTGTCCGTGACATTGAGCCATGTTGCCACCAGCCGTCACGTTAAGTCATGCTGCAAATGTGTTCTCTATGTTAAAATGTGACTTTATTTTTCTGTAAGTTAAATTTAAATTAAATATATGAAGGTCATGAATGACGCAGGTCACAAATGTCTCTCAGTTTTAGAGTTCCTTTTGTAACTGCACTGATTTGATAACGGTCCACTCAATACTTGTGAATGTCCAACTAACCTAAAGCCAATAAAGGGACGATTTCTCAAGAAACTCCATGACATGAAACAATTTACAGAATCAGTCCTCACTTCAATGTATGTGACAGCCTCTGGTTTTTGGCGAGTCTGCAGAGTATGAATGATCCTTGTTGAATAAAACAGTTTGATATTAATGGATGATTTTATGGTGTTTTTATGCAGTGTAAATCAGACGTTTGAAATGCAGAAGTGGCTGAACTACATTTATTAGAACACCAAAGTAAAACATACAATCCCTCTATGAGTAATGAACAGCTGCATTTTATTTATTTAACCTGTGGCAAGTTGAAGGTAAAGGCAAAGGTACTACCTCCATGTGCTCCAGAGCACTTCTCTTAAAGCGACAGTAACATACATGACTGTCATAACATATAGCTTATAAAGGTACAAAAAAAACTTGTAATTATTTTGACTTTAATGTGATTTTTTTTTTTTAGCATAATAATAATAAAGTAGGTTACGGTAAAACTTACACCCCGCTTTGCCACTACGAAAATTGGCAAACATCATGGGGGCCTGGTCGTCTTCCACAGAGCTCACCATGATATTTCTACTGTAGCCCAGGACAGACAAACTCAACACTGACTCTAGATAGGGCAATTTGCATTTTTGCGTCAGCCATCCTAGTTCTCTTACACGTTTCAGTTAGTTGTGATCTGCAATCTCACCACTAGATGCCACTAAATCCTACACACTAGACCTTTGATTTTCCTCATATATTCTTTAAGTATACTGATTATAGGAGCCACCCATGGTGGAAAATGTGTGTAGGTTGCTAATTCGACCTGAGGGGGTCACTGTATTGTCATGGGTGTCCGTCAGTATGAGGGACAGGTGTTGCTAGACAGGGGAGCCCAATTTTTTGACCACAACGCTGGGCCACGTCAAGTGAGGTGTACATTTGACTGGTGTATGGACACAGATTCATGAATGTTTTAAGTTTTTCATTGAAGACTAAAGTGGTGATAGGTAAATTATGCATCAAATACGGAGAAAAAGAAGTGGACTTCATTGGTTGAGCGAGCTCGTCAGTAAGTTTAGGCTTAGGCGCTATACTAATAAAGTAGGGTGTTAGCAGGCTATTCTCAGATAGAGTACCATTTTTATTTTCAATTAGCCAGATGTGGAGTGAGTGCATTTACTCAAGTATTTGAAAATGTGTTAATCTCTCCTTCAGGGTGCCCATATAGACACTGAAACAGGTTTTGCTTGTCGTAATTTTTTTTTCCTGTTGAGAGATCCTTTCCTAATGTACTTCCAATAAGAGGAGACAAAACTCAAAGACAAACATTTCTCGCTGTGTTAATATTCCCAAGTATATCTAAACTTACTATGGGTCTTCAGCGGCATGGCTTTGCTGAATCAACTCTGTATCTTCCTGAGTTAGTCTTTTTATTAATAATAAAAGAAAATGCTTTCTCTGGCTCCACAAAGAATCACTGTCAGAGGAAACACAAAGAGGGAAATTCATACCAATAACTTCATATGCAAAGATTTTAAAGGAATTCACAAAATGAGCATTTCATTTTCAAATACTCACCCCAAGTTACCTTGGATTTGTGAAGAAAACTCCTGCGTTTTTCTCACATGCTTTCACGGTGAATAAGTGTCCAGAAGCAGAGAACATTCTTGATGAATTGACGTGAAGGGGAGGGACGGCATTTACAACAGCAAATATCAAAACATCAATTTACAAACCATCTCACAGCTCGTTCAGTATAATCCAAGTCTTTCGCACTAAAATCACATATGTGGAGGTGTGTCCCGTGTGTCCAATACAGTGAAAGATTTTGGTATGAAATTTGAGAAGCTGGGCCATGGACGTTACTGGAAAAAATGCCATTATTTTCTATTAAAATATTTATATAAAATAACTGAATTAAACATGAGTAATGAAAGTAAGTGCACTACATTAGAGCAATTTCATTTTTTAATTATAATTTTTCTCTTGAGAATAAGACCCTGTGTCTCAATGATATTCCCTGTTTGAATACAGGTTATGTGGATTTAGATTAATAAATAAATGCAGTCTGCATTTTGTTTATCATTTAATTTGAGTGGAGATAAATAATTGATTTCACTGAACAAGCTAATAATTAGTTAAAAAAGTCAGTGACAACATTTGATTTAATACATGTTCATGTAACCATGATGGTTTGTAAAGGGCAACAATATTCAAATAAGAAATGCAGCTGAAAGTGCTTTACCATACGGAAATAGAAAATGAAATAAAAATAGACGTAAATTTGACATTACAACAGCGATAGACTGCTAAAGGCTAATTAATGTAAAACAAGATAAGTAAGATGAAGATAGACAAAAACAAGGTCGAGATAGAATGCATAAAATAAGATGGAAAATAAAACCCACTGAATAATCGTTTAGTAATGATGAAAATAAAGTTAAAAGTTAGAGTATGTATAATAAAGTGAAATAAAACAGAGTGCAAAAAGGCCAATCTGAAAGAGGCCTGTTACTGAGTACAGAGGCAGTGTTGAGGATTTCAGACAATATTAATAATAATTAGTCTATTAATAATTACCGTCTTCAGTGATTGGTGGAGAGAAGGACTTTACCACCATAGGAAGTTGACACAGTGATAGTATGCTCTTACACAACAGTCCACAGACACACACACAGCTGTGAGGGACACGGGTGTCTCTGAGCAGACAGATGAGACACAGTTGTCTCTCGGCAGACAGGCCTCTGTGCTGTCTTCTCTCAGGAGACACTGGAGTATCTGGTGTAAACAGGAATAGGGTCAGCTGAGGAGAAAGTTCACAGTCTGAGCCGGACAGTCACCACTGAATGTAAACGCAGCATGGCGGCCAAAGAGGGAGTCTGCTCGGCCGGACAGAGCCAGCTCCAGGACTCCTCAGACTCGGACTCGGAGGCGGAGGGGGAACACGCTCGGGGTGCCGGCACCGGGCCGTCCGCCGGCTCCTTCCCCCGCACACAGGTCATCCACAGCGGCCACTTCATGGTGTCGTCGCCGCACAGCGACTCCGCGCCGCGCCGGAGGAAGAGCGGCGGGTCTATGAGATATGACTTTGACACGGTGAACAGGACCTGGTGCCAGACGTACCGGTACGGGCCGCTCAGCTCCGGGAGCCTGAGCATCGACCCCACTCTGACCCGCCTGTTTGACTGCATGTCTCTGGCCTACAGGTGGGTCCCTTTCATGAGGTCAGGAACAGGAGCATGAACCCACCTCAGACCAGTTTAGCTGCTTTGTAACTTGCAGATTCCACCTGTAAATCACCCTGTAAAGCACCTTTTAATTTCTGCTTTTATTCTGTCCACTTCAGCCTTTTCATCTGCAGGGACAGATCTGTAAATAAGTGGGCACCTTATTATGAAAGTCTTTTTTTTTTTTTACAGTGCAGCTTTCTGATGATATGTATATATAATGAACCTGCAGGTATTTCCTCCCCCTGCAGTGATCTCCCTCTGTATAATTTATTTTATGCCCACTATACAGAGAGAGCTCCACATCAAAGTAGGCCTTTATCTGTGTTTCAACAGGTTTCCCCTTTTAAGACTCATAGCGTTGGCTTGTAATGTGTGTGGATGTGTCAGGAGAAGGATTTTTGCAGTCTCTTGTGCAACCGCTTGGAAAATCTTCACTAAAAACTGGACTTTGATTCTAGTTGGCAACACTGGAGAGATTACAGTGTAACTGAGGGAAAGGAGAGAGGATCCTGCAGTGATGCCACTGTCTACCACTTAGAAAATAATCTTATTATCTAAATTTTAATACACACAGACACTGTGAACTGATATAAAACATGCATTTTCATATTTTTCCCTGCTGTGTTTGCTGCTTTTTAAAAAAATCTTGATTGAATAGAATCTTAGTGACAGGTGTCCGGTACATTCGGTGACAAAAACAGCAGCTGTTCTGTCTGTCTCTTTGACATGTGTGTGCGTAAGAAAATATAATGCTTTAACAGCTTGTTTATCAGAGTTCAGCCTTTGGCCTAAAGAAGTCATTTGCCCTGCAAGTGACTGTGTGCCAGTTGGGTGTTTTTTATAGTTGGATGATTATTGCACAATAAACCCTGAGCCAATTGTTTATATTTTTAATTTTTATGAAAGGCATTTCCATTAAATTTATAAGTGCTATAGCCTATGTTAAACATGTACAGTATTAGGTGTCACAGAGACTATTAGTGCAAAGTGCTGCTCTGCTGCACAGTATTTGTCTTTGCTGTTAATTGGTTCTTCTCTTAATAGCTTTTTTTTTTTTAAGTAATATGCTGTGGGTGCTGTTTCAGGGTGTGTGACATGCAGCGGTGTCTCTTCATTAAAAGCACGTTGAAAATTATTCTCCAGGCCTCCTAGCAACTCCCTGAGCACCTCACATTAGGAGCCGTCTCCTCAGCACTCAGCAGTCTGCAGGACACTGAAAAAAGGGCAAACAGCCCGACAGTGTGCTGGTGAATAAGCTGATTGGTCACCATTAGTCAAAATAAGGACAGATTTCCAGCAGGAGTGTAGCGGTGAGGCGACTGAGCTTTTTCCACTGTGTCCAATTATACTCTAAAGGGTATCCAGGCATTTCTGCATGTGTCCCCATTTCATTGTTCTTAACAGAAGGCAACTTTTCCCATTTTCCATAAAGAAATCTACGGAAGCAGAGAACGGCTGTACTTGCAATTTTTCAATGCCATTATCTTGAGGTCAAGATTGAAGGCCCAAACCGACATCAAAAAACTAGTGTCTACAATGGCGAACCGTTGTGTCGCCTGTGTCTCGGCCAGAAAGTTGCACTTGAACTACCGCAATGACTACAGCCAGCGTCCAACCAGCACATACATTCTGCACCTGCGTGAGAGGGGTCTCAGAGGTAGAGTGGGTTGTCCACTAATCAGAAGATTGGCAGTTCAATCCCCGGCTCCTTCAGTCCGCATGTAGAAGTATCCTTGGCAAGATACTGCCTGGTTTAGAACTCAGTGGCTAAAAATAACCTCACCTAATAAAACAAGTTTTATAACCTCGTGCCCTCTTGACTTTAGTCATGTGTTTGCTTTCCTTGCTTCTGTCTCTCCTCTCATGTACTGAGCTGGACCGCCAGTCAGAGGGATTTCACTCACCGACGGGCTCTGCTGTCTCCGATGCCCATTCAACACAC